CTCTCTCTCTCTCTCTCTCTCTCCCCCCTCTGCTCTGGCCATGGCGCGTTTCGTGCGATGCAATGGCGTGCGTACAAGACGTATTTGTGACTAAAGCCCAAATCCCAATCCCACCTCTCTTTTTCTCTTCTGCCCATGGTAGCAGCAAAAGAAGGAAACAGTTCAGAATTCCTGAGGACGCATTTCTGTCTCTGGCCTGCTTGTCCACTTCCTCCTCCTCCTCCTCCTCCTTTACGCCCTGTTCTCTTTCTCCTTGTCTCCCAGCAGTTGGCGGTAAACGGCGCAAATGGACAACGGAGAGGATCTCGAAGATGCCAAGCGACAACGATGACGACGACGAGGATGATGATAAGGATGCGGAGGAGGAGGAGGGAGGGAGGAGGAGAATGAGGGAGGAGGAGAATGAGGGAGGCGGAGGGAGGGCGGAGGAGAACGAGGGAGGAGGAGGGAGGGAGGAGGAGAATGAGGGAGGAGGAGGGAGGGAGGTTGACAATGATGCAGGAGGAGGGAGGGAGGAGGAGGGAGGGAGGTTGACAATGATGGAGGAGGAGGGAGGGAGAAGGAGGGAGGGAGGAGGAGGGAGGGAGGAGGACACGGTGGAGGAGGAGGAGAATGTGCTTTTATTTCTCCCCTTGGATAATGGAGCGGCTGTTCTGTGATTGCGATCAGGTAAAACTTAATCTCGAAAGAGCCTTTGGGGGGGGAGCATACAGAAAAGAACGAAAAATATTAATAGCACTTGAAAGGACAAATATCTGGCATAGGCCTCTCTACTGCTGTACGAGCCCAGCATCCCTTTCTTGTGTTTACCTTTCCCTTTGCGGACGGGTCGGATGAACGCAAGTTCTGAGCAATGTATCGCGAAAATATATATAAATATATATTGCGCTCTTATATTCTTGTGACTATATATATATCGTATATAAAATATATGCGAGTCCAACCCCCCGAGAGAGAGAGAGCCCATGTATGTACAGAGAGAGAGAGAGAGCCCATGTATGTACACACACAGAGAGAGAGAGAGAGAGAGAGAGAGAGAGAGAGAGAGAGAGAGAGAGAGAGAGAGAGAGCTGGACAACTGTGGGAATTTGCAGCAATCGGAAGCCTTTTGCGATTGGAGATTCGCCGTCGGATTTTATTCTGCTCATCTTGTTGCATCTCGATTTGAACTCGGGTCTGTATTTCACCAGATCATGGGTGTACCAACTGAGTTAAGCCCATTTTCGATATCGGATTAAATATCATCTCACTTGAAAATTCTTCTTTTTCATGGCGTTCATAAACCTCCCAAGACACACACACACACACACACACACACACACACACACACACACACACACACACACACACACGCGCGCGCGCGCATGCACGTACTTACGTATCCATGTGGATATATGGTAGAGAGGATGAAGCAGAGAGAAGTTCAAACTGTGAGAGAGGATGGGGCAGAGAGAACTGTTAGGAGTATGAATGGGGGGAAATGAAGGAAGGAGGGAAGGAGTTCTCTCTGCCCCATTCCTGTGGTGGGCGAGCGAAATAAGAGAGATGAAGAAGGATGGGCTGGAAGAACCTCACCTACTCAACACGATTGTAACTCGATCTCACGTACGTTGCATGCATGCATGCAGAGCCCAGCGGGCGACGTGAGTGCGCATCCGATGCGTTCCGGCGAAGGACGGCAAAAACCCTTGTCGCTTCTGCGGTAGCTAAATCAAGCCTGAAATCAGGTGCTACGTAGCAGGTGCAGCTCCCGCATGTTCCCTCGTTGGAGGCTTGAGCACGGATGTGGCTGCTACGGGCTCCCCGTAATCCTATAATGACAATAAAAAAGGCCTGA